TTATTTTCATAGAAATCCCTGTTTTTCCCCTAAAATATCGCTTATTTTCATGGAAATCCCTGTTTTTCCCCTAAAATATCGCTTATTTTCATAGAAATCCCTGTTTTTCCCCTAAAATATCGCTTATTTTCATAGAAATCCCTGTTTTTCCCCTAAAATATCGCTTATTTTCATAGAAATCCCTGTTTTTCCCCTAAAATATCGCTTATTTTCACTGAAATCCCTGTTTTTAACCCTAAAATATCGCTTATTTTCATGGAAATCCCTGTTTTTAACATAAAATATCGCTTATTTTCATAGAAATCCCTGTTTTTAACCCTAAAATATCGCTTATTTTCATAGAAATCCCTGTTTTTAACATAAAATATCGCTTATTTTCATAGAAATCCCTGTTTTTAACCCTAAAATATCGCTTATTTTCATGGAAATCCCTGTTTTTAACCCTAAAATATCGCTTATTTTCATAGAAATCCCTGTTTTTCCCCTAAAATATCGCTTATTTTCATAGAAATCCCTGTTTTTAACATAAAATATCGCTTATTTTCATGGAAATCCCTGTTTTTAACCCTAAAATATCGCTTATTTTCATAGAAATCCCTGTTTTTAACCCTAAAATATCGCTTATTTTCATAGAAATCCCTGTTTTTAACATAAAATATCGCTTATTTTCATAGAAATCCCTGTTTTTAACCCTAAAATATCGCTTATTTTCATAGAAATCCCTGTTTTTAACCCTAAAATATCGCTTATTTTCATGGAAATCCCTGTTTTTAACATAAAATATCGCTTATTTTCATAGAAATCCCTGTTTTTAACATAAAATATCGCTTATTTTCATGGAAATCCCTGTTTTTAACCCTAAAATATCGCTTATTTTCATAGAAATCCCTGTTTTTAACCCCTAAAATATCGCTTATTTTCATAGAAATCCCTGTTTTTCCCCTAAAATATCGCTTATTTTCATAGAAATCCCTGTTTTTAACATAAAATATCGCTTATTTTCATGGAAATCCCTGTTTTTAACATAAAATATCGCTTATTTTCATAGAAATCCCTGTTTTTAACCCTAAAATATCGCTTATTTTCATAGAAATCCCTGTTTTTAACCCTAAAATATCGCTTATTTTCATAGAAATCCCTGTTTTTAACCCTAAAATATCGCTTATTTTCACAGAAATCCCTGTTTTTAACCCTAAAATATCGCTTATTTTCATAGAAATCCCTGTTTTTCCCCTAAAATATCGCTTATTTTCATAGAAATCCCTGTTTTTAACCCTAAAATATCGCTTATTTTCATGGAAATCCCTGTTTTTCCCCTAAAATATCGCTGATTTTCATAGAAATCATGGTTTTGAACCTTAAATATCGCTTCTTTTTACGGAAATCCCTGTTTTTAACCTAAAATACCGCTGTTTTTCATAGAAATCCCTGTTTTTAACCCTAAAATATCGCTTATTTTCATAGAAATCCCTGTTTTTAACCCTAAAATATCGCTTATTTTCATGGAAATCCCTGTTTTTCCCCTAAAATATCGCTTATTTTCATAGAAATCCCTGTTTTTCCCCTAAAATATCGCTTATTTTCATGGAAATCCCTGTTTTTAACCCTAAAATATCGCTTATTTTCATAGAAATCCCTGTTTTTAACCCTAAAATATCGCTTATTTTCATAGAAATCCCTGTTTTTAACCCTAAAATATCGCTTATTTTCATAGAAATCCCTGTTTTTAACATAAAATATCGCTTATTTTCATGGAAATCCCTGTTTTTCCCCTAAAATATCGCTTATTTTCATGGAAATCCCTGTTTTTAACCCTAAAATATCACTTATTTTCATAGAAATCCCTGTTTTTAACCCTAAAATATCGCTTATTTTCATAGAAATCCCTGTTTTTAACATAAAATATCGCTGATTTTCATAGAAATCCCTGTTTTTCCCCTAAAATATCGCTTATTTTCACTAGAAATCCCTGTTTTTCCCCTAAAATATCGCTTATTTTCATAGAAATCCCTGTTTTTCCCCTAAAATATCGCTTATTTTCATAGAAATCCCTGTTTTTAACATAAAATATCGCTTATTTTCATAGAAATCCCTGTTTTTCCCCTAAAATATCGCTTATTTTCATAGAAATCCCTGTTTTTAACATAAAATATCGCTTATTTTCATGGAAATCCCTGTTTTTAACCCTAAAATATCACTTATTTTCATAGAAATCCCTGTTTTTCCCCTAAAATATCGCTTATTTTCATAGAAATCCCTGTTTTTCCCCTAAAATATCGCTTATTTTCATAGAAATCCCTGTTTTTAACCCTAAAATATCGCTTATTTTCATAGAAATCCCTGTTTTTCCCCTAAAATATCGCTTATTTTCACAGAAATCCCTGTTTTTCCCCTAAAATATCGCTTATTTTCATAGAAATCCCTGTTTTTAACCCTAAAATATCGCTTATTTTCATAGAAATCCCTGTTTTTAACATAAAATATCGCTTATTTTCATAGAAATCCCTGTTTTTAACCCTAAAATATCGCTTATTTTCATAGAAATCCCTGTTTTTAACATAAAATATTGCTTATTTTCATAGAAATCCCTGTTTTTAACCCTAAAATATCGCTTATTTTCATAGAAATCCCTGTTTTTAACCCTAAAATATCGCTTATTTTCATAGAAATCCCTGTTTTTAACCCTAAAATATCGCTTATTTTCATAGAAATCCCTGTTTTTCCCCTAAAATATCGCTTATTTTCATAGAAATCCCTGTTTTTGAACCTTAAATATCGCTTCTTTTTACGGAAATCCCTGTTTTTAACACTAAAATATCGCTTATTTTCATAGAAATCCCTGTTTTTCCCCTAAAATATCGCTTATTTTCATAGAAATCCCTGTTTTTAACCTAAAATATCGCTTATTTTCATGGAAATCCCTGTTTTTCCCCTAAAATATCGCTTATTTTCATAGAAATCCCTGTTTTTAACATAAAATATCGCTTATTTTCATAGAAATCCCTGTTTTTAACCCTAAAATATCGCTTATTTTCACAGAAATCCCTGTTTTTTAACATAAAATATCGCTTATTTTCATGGAAATCCCTGTTTTTAACCCTAAAATATCGCTTATTTTCATAGAAATCCCTGTTTTTAACCCTAAAATATCGCTTATTTTCATGGAAATCCCTGTTTTTCCCCTAAAATATCGCTTATTTTCATAGAAATCCCTGTTTTTCCCCTAAAATATCGCTTATTTTCATAGAAATCCCTGTTTTTAACCCTAAAATATCGCTTATTTTCATAGAAATCCCTGTTTTTAACCCTAAAATATCGCTTATTTTCATAGAAATCCCTGTTTTTAACCCTAAAATATCGCTTATTTTCACAGAAATCCCTGTTTTTAACATAAAATATCGCTTATTTTCATGGAAATCCCTGTTTTTCCCCTAAAATATCGCTTATTTTCATAGAAATCCCTGTTTTTAACCCTAAAATATTGCTTATTTTCATAGAAATCCCTGTTTTTACCCCTAAAATATCGCTTATTTTCATAGAAATCCCTGTTTTTCCCCTAAAATATCGCTTATTTTCATAGAAATCCCTGTTTTTAACCTAAATATCGCTTATTTTCATAGAAATCCCTGTTTTTAACACTAAAATATCGCTTATTTTCATAGAAATCCCTGTTTTTAACCCTAAAATATCGCTTATTTTCATAGAAATCCCTGTTTTTAACCTAAAATATCGCTTATTTTCATAGAAATCCCTGTTTTTAACCCTAAAATATCGCTTATTTTCATAGAAATCCCTGTTTTTAACATAAAATATCGCTTATTTTCATAGAAATCCCTGTTTTTAACCCTAAAATATCGCTTATTTTCACAGAAATCCCTGCTTTTCCCCTAAAATATCTCTTATTTTCATAGAAATCCCTGTTTTTAACCCTAAAATATCGCTTATTTTCATAGGAATCCCTGTTTTTAACATAAAATATCGCTTATTTTCATGGAAATCCCTGTTTTTAACCCTAAAATATCGCTTATTTTCATAGAAATCCCTGTTTTTAACCCCTAAAATATCGCTTATTTTCATGGAAATCCCTGTTTTTAACCCTAAAATATCACTTATTTTCATAGAAATCCCTGTTTTTAACCCTAAAATATCGCTTATTTTCATGGAAATCCCTGTTTTTAACCCTAAAATATCGCTTATTTTCATAGAAATCCCTGTTTTTAACCCTAAAATATCGCTTATTTTCATAGAAATCCCTGTTTTTCCCCTAAAATATCGCTTATTTTCATGGAAATCCCTGTTTTTCCCCTAAAATATCGCTTATTTTCATAGAAATCCCTGTTTTTCCCCTAAAATATCGCTTATTTTCATAGAAATCCCTGTTTTTAACATAAAATATCGCTTATTTTCATAGAAATCCCTGTTTTTAACCCTAAAATATCGCTTATTTTCATAGAAATCCCTGTTTTTAACCCTAAAATATCGCTTATTTTCATAGAAATCCCTGTTTTTTCCCCTAAAATATCGCTTATTTTCATAGAAATCCCTGTTTTTAACATAAAATATCGCTTATTTTCATAGAAATCCCTGTTTTTCCCCTAAAATATCGCTTATTTTCATAGAAATCCCTGTTTTTAACCCTAAAATATCGCTTATTTTCATGGAAATCCCTGTTTTTAACCCTAAAATATCGCTTATTTTCATAGAAATCCCTGTTTTTCCCCTAAAATATCGCTTATTTTCATAGAAATCCCTGTTTTTAACCTAAAATATCGCTTATTTTCATGGAAATCCCTGTTTTTCCCCTAAAATATCGCTTATTTTCATAGAAATCCCTGTTTTTAACCCTAAAATATCGCTTATTTTCATAGAAATCCCTGTTTTTAACCCTAAAATATCGCTTATTTTCATAGAAATCCCTGTTTTTCCCCTAAAATATCGCTTATTTTCATAGAAATCCCTGTTTTTAACCCTAAAATATCGCTTATTTTCATAGAAATCCCTGTTTTTAACATAAAATATCGCTTATTTTCATAGAAATCCCTGTTTTTAACCCTAAAATATCGCTTATTTTCATAGAAATCCCTGTTTTTAACCCTAAAATATCGCTTATTTTCATAGAAATCCCTGTTTTTAACCCTAAAATATCGCTTATTTTCATGGAAATCCCTGTTTTTAACCCTAAAATATCGCTTATTTTCATAGAAATCCCTGTTTTTAACCCTAAAATATCGCTTATTTTCATAGAAATCCCTGTTTTTAACATAAAATATCGCTTATTTTCATGGAAATCCCTGTTTTTAACCCTAAAATATCGCTTATTTTCATAGAAATCCCTGTTTTTCCCCTAAAATATCGCTTATTTTCATGGAAATCCCTGTTTTTAACCTAAAATATCGCTTATTTTCATAGAAATCCCTGTTTTTAACCCTAAAATATCGCTTATTTTCATAGAAATCCCTGTTTTTAACATAAAATATCGCTTATTTTCATAGAAATCCCTGTTTTTCCCCTAAAATATCGCTTATTTTCATAGAAATCCCTGTTTTTAACCCTAAAATATCGCTTATTTTCATAGAAATCCCTGTTTTTAACATAAAATATCGCTTATTTTCATAGAAATCCCTGTTTTTAACCCTAAAATATCGCTTATTTTCATGGAAATCCCTGTTTTTCCCCTAAAATATCGCTTATTTTCATAGAAATCCCTGTTTTTAACCCTAAAATATCGCTTATTTTCATGGAAATCCCTGTTTTTAACCCTAAAATATCGCTTATTTTCATAGAAATCCCTGTTTTTAACCCCTGAAATATCGCTTATTTTCATAGAAATCCCTGTTTTTCCCCTAAAATATCGCTTATTTTCATAGAAATCCCTGTTTTTCCCCTAAAATATCGCTTATTTTCATAGAAATCCCTGTTTTTCCCCTAAAATATCGCTTATTTTCACGGAAATCCCTGTTTTTCCCCTAAAATATCGCTTATTTTCATAGAAATCCCTGTTTTTCCCTAAAATATCGCTTATTTTCACAGAAATCCCTGTTTTTAACCCTAAAATATCGCTTATTTTCATAGAAATCCCTGTTTTTAACATAAAATATCGCTTATTTTCATAGAAATCCCTGTTTTTAACCCTAAAATATCGCTTATTTTCATAGAAATCCCTGTTTTTAACATAAAATATTGCTTATTTTCATAGAAATCCCTGTTTTTAACCCTAAAATATCGCTTATTTTCATAGAAATCCCTGTTTTTAACCCTAAAATATCGCTTATTTTCATAGAAATCCCTGTTTTTAACCCTAAAATATCGCTTATTTTCATGGAAATCCCTGTTTTTCCCCTAAAATATCGCTTATTTTCATAGAAATCATGGTTTTGAACCTTAAATATCGCTTCTTTTTACGGAAATCCCTGTTTTTAACACTAAAATATCGCTTATTTTCATAGAAATCCCTGTTTTTAACCATAAAATATCGCTTATTTTCATAGAAATCCCTGTTTTTAACCCTAAAATATCGCTTATTTTCATAGAAATCCCTGTTTTTCCCCTAAAATATCGCTTATTTTCATAGAAATCCCTGTTTTTAACATAAAATATCGCTTATTTTCATGGAAATCCCTGTTTTTAACCCTAAAATATCGCTTATTTTCACAGAAATCCCTGTTTTTCCCCTGAAATATCTCTTATTTTCATGGAAATCCCTGTTTTGAACCTTAAATATCGCTTATTTTCATAGGAATCCCTGTTTTTAACATAAAATATCGCTTATTTTCATGGAAATCCCTGTTTTTCCCCTAAAATATCGCTTATTTTCATAGAAATCCCTGTTTTTCCCCTAAAATATCGCTTATTTTCATGGAAATCCCTGTTTTTAACCCTAAAATATCGCTTATTTTCATAGAAATCCCTGTTTTTAACCCTAAAATATTGCTTATTTTCATGGAAATCCCTGTTTTTAACCCTAAAATATCGCTTATTTTCATAGAAATCCCTGTTTTTAACCCTAAAATATCGCTTATTTTCATGGAAATCCCTGTTTTTAACCCTAAAATATCGCTTATTTTCATGGAAATCCCTGTTTTTAACCCCTAAAATATCGCTTATTTTCATAGAAATCCCTGTTTTTAACCCTAAAATATCGCTTATTTTCATAGAAATCCCTGTTTTTAACCCTAAAATATCGCTTATTTTCATAGAAATCCCTGTTTTTAACCCTAAAATATCGCTTATTTTCATAGAAATCCCTGTTTTTAACCCTAAAATATCGCTTATTTTCATAGAAATCCCTGTTTTTAACCCTAAAATATCGCTTATTTTCATAGAAATCCCTGTTTTTCCCATAAAATATCGCTTATTTTCATAGAAATCCCTGTTTTTAACCCTAAAATATCGCTTATTTTCATAGAAATCCCTGTTTTTAACATAAAATATTGCTTATTTTCATAGAAATCCCTGTTTTTCCCCTAAAATATCGCTTATTTTCATAGAAATCCCTGTTTTTAACCCTAAAATATCGCTTATTTTCATAGAAATCCCTGTTTTTAACCCTAAAATATCGCTTATTTTCATAGAAATCCCTGTTTTTAACCCTAAAATATCGCTTATTTTCATGGAAATCCCTGTTTTTCCCCTAAAATATCGCTTATTTTCATGGAAATCCCTGTTTTTAACCTAAAATATCGCTTATTTTCATAGAAATCCCTGTTTTTAACCCTAAAATATCGCTTATTTTCATAGAAATCCCTGTTTTTAACCCTAAAATATCGCTTATTTTCATAGAAATCCCTGTTTTTAACCTAAAATATCGCTTATTTTCATGGAAATCCCTGTTTTTAACCCTAAAATATCGCTTATTTTCATAGAAATCCCTGTTTTTAACATAAAATATCGCTTATTTTCATAGAAATCCCTGTTTTTAACCCTAAAATATCGCTTATTTTCATGGAAATCCCTGTTTTTAACCCTAAAATATCGCTTATTTTCATGGAAATCCCTGTTTTTAACCCTAAAATATCGCTTATTTTCATAGAAATCCCTGTTTTTCCCCTAAAATATCGCTTATTTTCATAGGAATCCCTGTTTTTCCCCTAAAATATCGCCTATTTTCATGGAAATCCCTGTTTTTAACCCTAAAATATCGCTTATTTTCATAGAAATCCCTGTTTTTCCCCTAAAATATCGCTTATTTTCATAGAAATCCCTGTTTTTCCCCTAAAATATCGCTTATTTTCATAGAAATCCCTGTTTTTAACCCCTAAAATATCGCTTATTTTCATGGAAATCCCTGTTTTTAACCCTAAAATATCGCTGATTTTCATAGAAATCCCTGTTTTTAACCCTTAAAATATCGCTTATTTTCATAGAAATCCCTGTTTTTAACCTAAAATATCGCTTATTTTCATAGAAATCCCTGTTTTTAACCCTAAAATATCGCTTATTTTCATAGAAATCCCTGTTTTTAACCTAAAATATCGCTTATTTTCATAGAAATCCCTGTTTTTAACCCTAAAATATCGCTTATTTTCATGGAAATCCCTGTTTTTCCCCTAAAATATCGCTTATTTTCATGGAAATCCCTGTTTTTAACCCTAAAATATCGCTTATTTTCATAGAAATCCCTGTTTTTAACCCTAAAATATTGCTTATTTTCATGGAAATCCCTGTTTTTAACCCTAAAATATCGCTTATTTTCATGGAAATCCCTGTTTTTAACCCTAAAATATCGCTTATTTTCATAGAAATCCCTGTTTTTCCCCTAAAATATCGCTTATTTTCATAGAAATCCCTGTTTTTAACCCTAAAATATCGCTTATTTTCATAGAAATCCCTGTTTTTAACCCTAAAATATCGCTTATTTTCATAGAAATCCCTGTTTTTCCCCTAAAATATCGCTTATTTTCATAGAAATCCCTGTTTTTTCCCCTAAAATATCGCTTATTTTCATAGAAATCCCTGTTTTTCCCTAAAATATCGCTTATTTTCATGGAAATCCCTGTTTTTAACCCTAAAATATCGCTTATTTTCATAGAAATCCCTGTTTTTAACATAAAATATCGCTTATTTTCATAGAAATCCCTGTTTTTAACCCTAAAATATCGCTTATTTTCATAGAAATCCCTGTTTTTAACATAAAATATCGCTTATTTTCATAGAAATCCCTGTTTTTAACCCTAAAATATCGCTTATTTTCACAGAAATCCCTGTTTTTAACCCTAAAATATCGCTTATTTTCATAGAAATCCCTGTTTTTAACATAAAATATCGCTTATTTTCATAGAAATCCCTGTTTTTAACATAAAATATCGCTTATTTTCATAGAAATCCCTGTTTTTAACCCTAAAATATCGCTTATTTTCATAGAAATCCCTGTTTTTAACATAAAATATCGCTTATTTTCATAGAAATCCCTGTTTTTAACCCTAAAATATCGCTTATTTTCACAGAAATCCCTGTTTTTAACCCCTAAAATATCGCTTATTTTCATAGAAATCCCTGTTTTTCCCCTAAAATATCGCTTATTTTCATAGAAATCCCTGTTTTTCCCCTAAAATATCGCTTATTTTCATAGAAATCCCTGTTTTTAACATAAAATATCGCTTATTTTCATAGAAATCCCTGTTTTTAACCCTAAAATATCGCTTATTTTCATGGAAATCCCTGTTTTTAACCCTAAAATATCGCTTATTTTCATGGAAATCCCTGTTTTTAACCCTAAAATATCGCTTATTTTCATAGAAATCCCTGTTTTTAACCCTAAAATATCGCTTATTTTCATAGAAATCCCTGTTTTTAACATAAAATATCGCTTATTTTCATAGAAATCCCTGTTTTTAACCCTAAAATATCGCTTATTTTCATAGAAATCCCTGTTTTTAACCCTAAAATATCGCTTATTTTCATAGAAATCCCTGTTTTTCCCCTAAAATATCGCTTATTTTCATGGAAATCCCTGTTTTTCCCCTAAAATATCGCTTATTTTCATAGAAATCATGGTTTTGAACCTTAAATATCGCTTATTTTCATAGAAATCCCTGTTTTTAACACTAAAATATCGCTTATTTTCATAGAAATCCCTGTTTTTAACCCTAAAATATCGCTTATTTTCATAGAAATCCCTGTTTTTAACCCTAAAATATCGCTTATTTTCATGGAAATCCCTGTTTTTCCCCTAAAATATCGCTTATTTTCATAGAAATCCCTGTTTTTAACCCTAAAATATCGCTTATTTTCATAGAAATCCCTGTTTTTAACATAAAATATCGCTTATTTTCATAGAAATCCCTGTTTTTAACCCTAAAATATCGCTTATTTTCATAGAAATCCCTGTTTTTAACCCTAAAATATCGCTTATTTTCATGGAAATCCCTGTTTTTAACCCTAAAATATCGCTTATTTTCATGGAAATCCCTGTTTTTCCCCTAAAATATCGCTTATTTTCATAGAAATCCCTGTTTTTCCCCTAAAATATCGCTTATTTTCATAGAAATCCCTGTTTTTAACCCCTAAAATATCGCTTATTTTCATAGAAATCCCTGTTTTTAACCCTAAAATATCGCTTATTTTCATAGAAATCCCTGTTTTTAACCCTAAAATATCGCTTATTTTCATGGAAATCCCTGTTTTTAACCCTAAAATATCGCTTATTTTCATAGAAATCCCTGTTTTTAACCCTAAAATATCGCTTATTTTCATGGAAATCCCTGTTTTTAACCCTAAAATATCGCTTATTTTCATAGAAATCCCTGTTTTTAACCCTAAAATATCGCTTATTTTCATAGAAATCCCTGTTTTTCCCCTAAAATATCGCTTATTTTCATAGAAATCCCTGTTTTTCCCCTAAAATATCGCTTATTTTCATAGAAATCCCTGTTTTTAACCCTAAAATATCGCTTATTTTCATAGAAATCCCTGTTTTTAACCCTAAAATATCGCTTATTTTCATAGAAATCCCTGTTTTTAACCCTAAAATATCGCTTATTTTCATGGAAATCCCTGTTTTTAACCCTAAAATATCGCTTATTTTCATAGAAATCCCTGTTTTTAACATAAAATATCGCTTATTTTCATAGAAATCCCTGTTTTTCCCCTAAAATATCGCTTATTTTCATAGAAATCCCTGTTTTTAACCCTAAAATATCGCTTATTTTCATGGAAATCCCTGTTTTTAACCCTAAAATATCGCTTATTTTCATAGAAATCCCTGTTTTTAACATAAAATATCGCTTATTTTCATAGAAATCCCTGTTTTTAACCCTAAAATATCGCTTATTTTCATAGAAATCCCTGTTTTTAACCCTAAAATATCGCTTATTTTCATAGAAATCCCTGTTTTTAACCCTAAAATATCGCTTATTTTCATAGAAATCCCTGTTTTTAACCCCTAAAATATCGCTTATTTTCATAGAAATCCCTGTTTTTAACCCCTAAAATATCGCTTATTTTCATAGAAATCCCTGTTTTTAACATAAAATATCGCTTATTTTCATAGAAATCCCTGTTTTTAACCCTAAAATATCGCTTATTTTCATAGAAATCCCTGTTTTTAACCCTAAAATATCGCTTATTTTCATAGAAATCCCTGTTTTTAACATAAAATATCGCTTATTTTCATAGAAATCCCTGTTTTTAACCCTAAAATATCGCTTATTTTCACAGAAATCCCTGTTTTTAACATAAAATATCGCTTATTTTCATAGAAATCCCTGTTTTTAACCCTAAAATATCGCTTATTTTCATAGAAATCCCTGTTTTTAACATAAAATATCGCTTATTTTCATAGAAATCCCTGTTTTTAACCCTAAAATATCGCTTATTTTCATAGAAATCCCTGTTTTTAACCCCTAAAATATCGCTTATTTTCATAGAAATCCCTGTTTTTAACCCTAAAATATCGCTTATTTTCATAGAAATCCCTGTTTTTAACCCTAAAATATCGCTTATTTTCATAGAAATCCCTGTTTTTAACCCTAAAATATCGCTTATTTTCATAGAAATCCCTGTTTTTAACATAAAATATCGCTTATTTTCATAGAAATCCCTGTTTTTAACCCTAAAATATCGCTTATTTTCATAGAAATCCCTGTTTTTAACATAAAATATCGCTTATTTTCATAGAAATCCCTGTTTTTAACCCTAAAATATCGCTTATTTTCATAGAAATCCCTGTTTTTCCCCTAAAATATCGCTTATTTTCATAGAAATCCCTGTTTTTAACATAAAATATCGCTTATTTTCATAGAAATCCCTGTTTTTAACCCTAAAATATCGCTTATTTTCATAGAAATCCCTGTTTTTAACCCCTAAAATATCGCTTATTTTCATAGAAATCCCTGTTTTTAACCCCTAAAATATCGCTGATTTTCATGGAAATCCCTGTTTTTAACATAAAATATCGCTTATTTTCATAGAAATCCCTGTTTTTAACCCTAAAATATCGCTTATTTTCATAGAAATCCCTGTTTTTAACCCTAAAATATCGCTTATTTTCATAGAAATCCCTGTTTTTAACCCTAAAATATCGCTTATTTTCATAGGAAATCCCTGTTTTTAACGTAAAATATCGCTTATTTTCATAGAAATCCCTGTTTTTAACCCTAAAATATCGCTTATTTTCATAGAAATCCCTGTTTTTAACCCTAAAATATCGCTTATTTTCACGGAAATCCCTGTTTTTCCCCTAAAATATCGCTTATTTTCATGGAAATCCCTGTTTTTAACATAAAATATCGCTTATTTTCATAGAAATCCCTGTTTTTCCCCTAAAATATCGCTTATTTTCATAGAAATCCCTGTTTTTCCCCTAAAATATCGCTTATTTTCATGGAAATCCCTGTTTTTAACCCTAAAATATCGCTTATTTTCACAGAAATCCCTGTTTTTAACCCCTAAAATATCGCTTATTTTCATAGAAATCCCTGTTTTTAACCCTAAAATATCGCTTATTTTCATGGAAATCCCTGTTTTTAACCCTAAAATATCGCTTATTTTCATAGAAATCCCTGTTTTTCCCCTAAAATATCGCTTATTTTCATAGAAATCCCTGTTTTTAACCTAAAATATCGCTTATTTTCACGGAAATCCCTGTTTTTAACATAAAATATCGCTTATTTTCATAGAAATCCCTGTTTTTAACCCTAAAATATCGCTTATTTTCATAGAAATCCCTGTTTTTAACCCTAAAATATCGCTTATTTTCATGGAAATCCCTGTTTTTTCCCCTAAAATATCGCTTATTTTCATAGAAATCCCTGTTTTTCCCCTAAAATATCGCTTATTTTCATAGAAATCCCTGTTTTTAACCCTAAAATATCGCTTATTTTCATAGAAATCCCTGTTTTTAACATAAAATATTGCTTATTTTCATAGAAATCCCTGTTTTTAACCCTAAAATATCGCTTATTTTCACAGAAATCCCTGTTTTTAACCCTAAAATATCGCTTATTTTCATAGAAATCCCTGTTTTTCCCCTAAAATATCGCTTATTTTCATAGAAATCCCTGTTTTTAACCCTAAAATATCGCTTATTTTCATAGAAATCCCTGTTTTTAACCCTAAAATATCGCTTATTTTCATAGAAATCCCTGTTTTTAACCCTAAAATATCGCTTATTTTCATGGAAATCCCTGTTTTTAACCCTAAAATATCGCTTATTTTCATAGAAATCCCTGTTTTTTCCCCTAAAATATCGCTTATTTTCATAGAAATCCCTGTTTTTAACCCTAAAATATCGCTTATTTTCATGGAAATCCCTGTTTTTAACCCTAAAATATCGCTTATTTTCATAGAAATCCCTGTTTTTAACCCTAAAATATCGCTTATTTTCATAGAAATCCCTGTTTTTCCCCTAAAATATCGCTTATTTTCATAGAAATCCCTGTTTTTAACATAAAATATCGCTTATTTTCATAGAAATCCCTGTTTTTAACCCTAAAATATCGCTTATTTTCATAGAAATCCCTGTTTTTAACCCTAAAATATCGCTGATTTTCATAGAAATCCCTGTTTTTAACCCTAAAATATCGCTTATTTTCATAGAAATCCCTGTTTTTCCCCTAAAATATTGCTGATTTTCATGGAAATCCCTGTTTTTCCCCTAAAATATCGCTTATTTTCACAGAAATCCCTGTTTTTAACCCTAAAATATCGCTGATTTTCATAGAAATCCCTGTTTTTAACCCTAAAATATCGCTTATTTTCATAGAAATCCCTGTTTTTAACATAAAATATCGCTTATTTTCATAGAAATCCCTGTTTTTCCCCTAAAATATCGCTTATTTTCATAGAAATCCCTGTTTTTAACCCTAAAATATCGCTTATTTTCATAGAAATCCCTGTTTTTAACCCTAAAATATCGCTTATTTTCATAGAAATCCCTGTTTTTAACCCTAAAATATCGCTTATTTTCATAGAAATCCCTGTTTTTAACCCTAAAATATCGCTTATTTTCATGGAAATCCCTGTTTTTCCCCCTAAAATATCGCTTATTTTCATAGAAATCCCTGTTTTTAACCTCAATATCGCTTATTTTCATACGGAAATCCCTGTTTTTAACCCTAAAATATCGCTTATTTTCATAGAAATCCCTGTTTTTCCCCTAAAATATCGCTTATTTTCATAGAAATCCCTGTTTTTAACATAAAATATCGCTTATTTTCATAGAAATCCCTGTTTTTAACATAAAATATCGCTTATTTTCATGGAAATCCCTGTTTTTAACCCTAAAATATCGCTTATTTTCATAGAAATCCCTGTTTTTAACATAAAATATCGCTTATTTTCATAGAAATCCCTGTTTTTAACCCTAAAATATCGCTTATTTTCATAGAAATCCCTGTTTTTAACATAAAATATCGCTTATTTTCATAGAAATCCCTGTTTTTAACCCTAAAATATCGCTTATTTTCATGGAAATCCCTGTTTTTAACCCTAAAATATCACTTATTTTCACAGAAATCCCTGTTTTTCCCCTAAAATATCGCTGATTTTCATAGAAATCCCTGTTTTTCCCCTAAAATATCGCTTATTTTCATGGAAATCCCTGTTTTTAACCCTAAAATATCGCTTATTTTCATAGAAATCCCTGTTTTTAACCCTAAAATATCGCTTATTTTCATAGAAATCCTGTTTTTAACCCTAAAATATTGCTTATTTTCACAGAAATCCCTGTTTTTCCCCTAAAATATCGCTTATTTTCATGGAAATCCCTGTTTTTTAACCCTAAAATATCGCTTATTTTCATAGAAATCCCTGTTTTTAACCCTGAAATATCGCTTATTTTCATAGAAATCCCTGTTTTTCCCCTAAAATATCGCTTATTTTCATAGAAATCCCTGTTTTTAACCCTAAAATATCGCTTATTTTCATAGAAATCCCTGTTTTTCCCCTAAAATATTGCTTATTTTCATAGAAATCCCTGTTTTTAACCTTAAAATATCGCTTATTTTCATAGAAATCCCTTTTTTTCCCGAAAAATATCGCTTGTTTTCATGGAAATCATGGTTTTTCCCCTAAAATACTGCTTATTTTCATGGAAATCCCTGTTTTTAACACTAAAATATCGCTTATTTTCATAGAAATCCCTGTTTTTTCCCTAAAATATCGCTTATTTTCATAGGAATCCCTGTTTTTCCCCTAAAATATTGCTTGTTTTCATGGAAATCATGGTTTTTCCCCTGAAATATCGCTTATTTTCATAGAAATCCCTGTTTTTAACACTAAAATATCCCTTATTTTCATAGAAATCCCTGTTTTTAACATAAAATATCGCTTATTTTCATAGAAATCATGGTTTTTCCCCTAAAATACTGCTTATTTTCATAGAAATCCCTGTTTTTAACCCTAAAATATCGCTTATTTTCATGGAAATCCCTGTTTTTAACCCTAAAATATCGCTTATTTTCATAGAAATCCCTGTTTTTAACATAAAATATCGCTTATTTTCATAGAAATCCCTGTTTTTAACCCTAAAATATCGCTTATTTTCATAGAAATCCCTGTTTTTCCCCTAAAATATCGCTTATTTTCATAGAAATCCCTGTTTTTCCCCTAATATATCGCTTCTTTTCACGGAAATCCCTGTTTTTCCCCTAAAATATCGCTTATTTTCATAGGAATCCCTGTTTTGAAGCCTAAAATATTGCTGATTTTCATAGAAATCCCTGTTTTGAACGCTAAAATATTGCTTATTTTCATAGAAATCCCTGTTTTTAGCCCTAAAATATCACTTATATTCATAGAAATCCCTGTTTTTCCCCTAAAATATCACTTATTTTCATAGAAATCCCTGTTTGTCCCCTAATATATCGCTTATTTTCATGGAAATCCCTGTTTTTAACCCTAAAATATCGCTTATTTTCATAGAAATTCCCGTTTTTCCCCTAAAATATCGCTGATTTTCATAGAAATCCCTGTTTTTAACCCTAAAATATCGCTTATTTTCATAGAAATCCCTGTTTTTACCCTAAAATATCGCTTATTTTCATAGAAATCCCTGTTTTTAACCCGTAAAATATCGCTTATTTTCATAGAAATCCCTGTTTTTAACATAAAATATCGCTTATTTTCATAGAAATCCCTGTTTTTAACCCTAAAATATCGCTTATTTTCATGGAAATCCCTGTTTTTAACCCTAAAATATCGCTTATTGTCATGAAATCCCTGTTTGTTTCCCTTGAATATCGCTTATTTTCATGGAAATCCCTGTTTTTAACCCTAAAATATCGCTTATTTTCATAGAAATCCCTGTTTTTAACATAAAATATCGCTTATTTTCATAGAAATCCCTGTTTTTCCCCTAAAATATCGCTTATTTTCATAGAAATCCCTGTTTTTCCCCTAAAATATCGCTTATTTTCATGGAAATCCCTGTTTTTAACCCTAAAATATCGCTTATTTTCATGGAAATCCCTGTTTTTAACCCTAAAATATCGCTTATTTTCATAGAAATCCCTGTTTTTAACATGAAATATCGCTTATTTTCATAGAAATCCCTGTTTTTAACCTTAAAATATCGCTTATTTTCATAGAAATCCCTGTTTTTCCCCTAAAATATCGCTTATTTTCATAGAAATGTTTGTATTTCCTCTTAAACATTATTTTGTTCTGCCCATGTGCCGGGGACACCGTACTGCGCATGCGCTGCGCTGGCAGCCTACTGCGCAGTCCCGCGCCAGCTCTTTACTGCGCATGCGCTGGTCTGGCACCCTACAGCGCATGCACTTCGATTGAACGCTGCTGCGTATGGGTATATCTAGCGCACTTCTGCGCTTGCGCTGTGCTTGGCACCGTACTGCGCATGCGCGGATCTGTCGCACTCTTGCGCCTGCGCCGTGCGGCACCGGACTGCGCATGCGGTGCGTTTTTACCCCTACTGCACATGCGCTTCGCTGGTACTATTCCAAGAAATCCGTTTTCTTAACCTTAAATTATCGCTTATTTTCATAGAAATCCCTGTTTTTCCCCTTAAATTTCGCTCATTTTCCTAGAAATCCCTGTTTTTCCCCTTAGGTCTGGCACCCTACTGCGTTTGCGGTAGGCTGGCACTCTGCTGCGCATGCTCCAGTGTGGTACTGTGATGCGCATGCGCGTGCCTGGCATCCTAGTGCGCTTGCGATGCGTTTCTAACCTACTGCGCGTGCGCTCGTCCTGCACCCTACTGCGCATGCGATTCGCTGGCACCTACTGCGCATGCGCGGTTTTGGCACCCTATTGCGCGTTTGTTTCGCATGTCCTCTATTTCGCATGCGCGGGCTTTGCATCGTAGTACGCATGCTCTGCCGATGCAGCCTGTTGCGCATGCGCTGTGCTAGCACTCTACTGTGCATGCCCGGTTCTGTCGCTCTACTGCGCATTCGCTGCGCTAGCACCCTACTGCGCATGCGTGCGTCTGGCCCCCGACTGCACATGCGCTTCGCCGGCTCCCTTCTGCGCATGCGCGTGTCTGGGTCTTTACTGTGCGTGCGCTGCGCAGGCATCGTACTGCGCATGCGCTCTTCTGGCTCCCGACTGCGAATGCGCTGCGCCGGCACCCTATTGCGCATGCGCGGATCTGACGCACTACTGCGCATGCTTTTGACTGGTACTATTCCAATAAATCCGCTTTTTTAACCCTTAAATATCGCTTATTTTCATTTAAATCCCTGTTTTTCCCCTGAATTATCGCTCATTTTCCTTTAATCCCTGTTTTTCTCCTTAAGTCTGGCACCCTACCGCGCATGCGGTAGGCTGGCACCCTGCTGCGCATGCGCGTGCCTGACATCCTAGTGGGATTGCGCCTCTCTTGTTGCGTATTGCGCATGCGCCGCGCTGTCACCCTGCTACTCATGCGCCTGTCTCGCACTCTGCTCCCCGCTTGCACCGTCGTTCGCATGCGCCATACTGGCACTCTACTGCGCTTGCGTCGGGCTGGTATCCTGCTGCGCATGCGCCGGGTTGCCACTCTACTGCGTTTGCGCCGGGCTGTCACCCTTCTGCGCTTGCGCCTGGCTGCCGCCGTTCTGCGCTTGCGCCTGCCTGGCGCCTAACTGCGCATGCGCAAGACTGGCACCCTACTGCGCATGCGCCTGTTTGGCACTCTACTTCGAATGCGGCTGTTTGGCACTCTACTGCGCATGCGCCTCGCTGGCACACTGTTGCGCGTGGGCCAGTCTGGCGCTCTACTGCGTATGCGACAATCTGGCACTCTTCTGTGCATTCGTCGCGTTGGCACCCTGGTACGCATGCGCCAGTCTGGCAGTCTACGGCGCTTGCGCCAGTCTGGCCCTCTACTGCGCTTGCGCCGAGCTGTCATCCTTCTGCGCATGCGTCGGTCTGGCACTCTACTGTGCATGCTCTGCGCTGGCACCCCTGTACGCATGCGGTAGTCTGGCACTACTGCGTTTGCGGCGGTATGGCGCCCTGGTACGCATGCGCCAGGCTGGCACCTTTCTGCGCATGCGCTAGTCTGATACCGTCTTGCGCATGCGCTTGCCTGGCACTCTGCTGCGCATGCGTATGTTCGGCTGTCTCTTGCGCATGCGCCAGTTTGGCACCCTGCTGCGCATACTCCAGTATGGCACTTTACTGCGCATGCGCTGTTCTGTCACCCTGGTACGCATGCGCCAGTTTGGCACTCTACTGCGCTTGCGCTGGTCTGACACTCTCTTGCGCTTGCGCCGGTCTGGCTCTCTCCTGCGCATGCGCCTGTCTGTTACTCTACTGCGTATGCGCAATCTTGCACTGTACTGCTGGCTGGCACCCTTCTGCGCATGCTGCTGGCTGGCACCCTTCTGCGCATGCGGCGGGCTGGCACCCTTCTGCACATGCGCTTGCGTGGCACTCTATTGTGCATGCGCCTGGCTGGCACCCTGCTACGCATGTGCCAGTCTGGCACTCTACTGAGTATGCGCGCGTGTGGCACCCTACTACGCATGCGCCTAGCTGGCACTCTACTGCGCATGCGCAATTTTGGCACCCTGCTGCGTACGTGCAAGTCTGGCGCCCTTCTGCGCATGCGCCGTGCTGGTACTCTACTGCGCATTCCCTGGGCTGGCGCCCTACTGCGCATGCTGCTTAGTGCACCTCATCTCCGTTTTCAGGGTTTTTATTACTCGTAGCATTACTTTTATGGTGACTTAATTAGATCTGTGTGGATTATGGTGGCTTATCTGGACCTGTTATTATGGACGGGCAATGCAGAACATAAACGGCACAGCGACGCTCTGTCGTGCTCTGAAGGGCAGTGTGGGTCCCGGGACCCTTCCCCCCCCCCCTGCCCCCCCAGCCAGGGGGCAGCGCTCTCCCTGTTCTCCTCTGATCCCCACCGTCCCCCAAAGCCGCCCCTCCTGCAGTTCCGCGGTTTGGTCACGCAGCCTCACAGCTTGGCTCTTCCTCTTTGGATTCCAGGGGCTGTATTTAATTTGCGAGAGGAAAAAGACGTCGATAATTCGCGACATCTTCTTGTTATCTCAGAGCACCCTGCTATGAAGCAGCAGTGCAGCAGGAATCCACATGTGCTACGGGACTCCATCAGACACTGCAAGGTTGCTGTAGGACTCCATAGGATGCAACAGAGAACCTGCAGGACTGTGGGGCACACAGGGGCACCCAGGAGCCTCCCCACGATCCCCCAGCAACCCCACAGTAAGCAGACGGGGGGTCCAGTGAGTTTTATTTGCTTGCAGTGCCCCATTTTTGGGGTGAATCCTGGCGTTTTTTGGGGTGAATCCCGGGAAGCTCTTCTGGGTGGGGGTGTGCAGGATGTGCACGTAATGGCAGCTGGTGATGGAGGCGCAGCGCTGCCAGGAGTCCTGGCTGTTTGTGAACCCAACCCAGGTTGCAGCTGAAGATCTTGGGTACTCTCTGGGAGGGTCCAGGTGTGTAGGGGGGGGGTCCTGGGTGTTTCAGTGCTGCCCCCCCCAGTGATGAGGGGGGAGGGGGGGGGTCTCCCAGATGGCTGTGAGCCCCTTAGCCTTGTATTTGAGGTGGGAATGGGCTATCAGGCGGTCCAGGATCCTGTGCATCTGCTGCAGGCGGCGGGGGCAAAAGGCTTCAGGACGAGCGCGGTTCTGTATGAACACTGTTTAGGGGGGTCACAAAGAGTGGGGGCTTTGGGGTCAGGAGGGCAGTGGGGAGCTTTGGGGTTGAGGGGGTCAATGGGGGTATTAGAGGTCTTTGGGGTCAATGGGATCGGGGGAACAATGGGGGTTAGTGGGGGTAGGGGGGGCTGTGGGGGCAGTGGGAGGCCTTGGGTTTGAGGGGACAGTAGGGGTCCCTGTGGAGATCCATAGTTAGCCTGACTTCCATGAGGCCATGGGCTTCACAGGCCTAAACAGCAAAAGCAAGGTCTGCTTAGTTACTATGTTTGTTGCTTCTGCTGTGCTAAGGTGGTGGTCACGAGTGGTGATCTTTTACAATAGGGAACCGTACGCTTTGATCAAGAAGAAACACTGGACATAGAAACAAGATGTAAGATTAGATATGGTTGCTTAGGGAGGCCTTGAAACTGTTGAGACTTGTATCCAAGATATACATAATCATATATATGTGTGTGCTGTTGTGTTGTGTGAATATAGTAGACTAATAGTAGATGTAGTAGAAGAAGAATAAAGGACTTTCCTATGACAGAGGCCTCTGGTTGCTGAACTTCAACAACCAACAGTTCTGCTTTAGGACCCACCTGACTGAAACCAGATGGGAAGTGGCAATTAACAATTGATAATCAATGCCTGAATGTTCATATAGCACCGCTAGCAGCTGCTGTTTCAAACATTGCCAACATAACAGCTGTTTTTGCGAGCAGCTGCACATTCACGGATGGCAGCCTTTGGTGTACGTGATCTTTATGGTTCCCTTCCAGGAAGAGGATAAAGAAAACTTTGCTTCTGCTTGGGAGAAGATACAAAATACCTGTAGCAGATTCCCACAGGTGTGTAAACATTCTGCCATGCTTGTTCCTGCTGTGCTTTTACAAATAGTTTCACTGCCTCAAGATGTGAAATTGTATTGACCGCGAAGACCAGCAAAACTGTGCAAAACATTGTGCACTTAAGTGCAGAATTTTGCAAACCCCACGTGGACTTCATGGAACCCCAGCAAAGACAAGCAATCCCATACATTCTTCAGCAATCCAAGGAGGAACTTCAGCAATGCAGGGCAAAGACTGGTGAATCTGGATAGAAGAGTAATCAAAAATCACAATAACTACAAAAGAACATGCAAAGCAAGTGATGTGCAATGCAATTGCTCACCACCCACTGATGAATGCCCAGCCGATTCCCGACCAGCAGCAGACTGCCGGTCATCTCCCCCCGGTACGTTATTCAGCGTGAGGACATCGAGGACGGGACATCCCTTTGGCCAGCATCGTCCCGCTTCTGTCCCCTCGTTGCCAAGGCTGAGGAGGAGCCCAGCTTCTACCGCTGCACGGGGTGGATGTGACGCATGACGGCCGGCCTACTCGAGCATCCGCTGCCCCCGTCACCCCTTCCGCAGCACATCTTCGCTATGAGCCGCGTCTCCACTGCGCCGGCGGAACGGGGAACCCCGTCGCGGCAGAGCGATCCGCACGTTCCGCAATGCGCACCGCAGCCTGTCGCGGTCTGATTACGTCACCGCCAGAAGTGCTGCTGGGTGATTTTCCGGTGTTGGTCGCTGCTGCTGCCTGCAAATGAGCAAGCGGAAAGTGCTGCAGGAGAGCCTCAACCAGGGCATCGCAGACTTCCTCATGGGTACTGGGGGTGCAGGGGGAGGGAGGGTATCCTTGGATCCGGCTCGACTGCACCAACTGTGTTTCTCCCCGTAAAGCTAGGGAATTACGACCGCGACGTGAACCGAGCCATTCACAACTACGACGCGTACAGATACCGCCTCCTTCCTCAGGGCTGCTTTTTTCTCTTCCCTGCCGGAGCGCCCCGCTCCCATCTCTCGGGGGCCCGGCCCGGCCTCGCCGCAGGGCTGAGCGCGCTGCTCTTTTCTGGCCGCTGACCGACGCCGTTCCGCAGGAAAGCAGACTGTCGTTTCTCGGTACCCCAGCAGAATACGGAGTGAAGCCGAAGCTAAGAAGCTGGTAGGTACCGGGGCGAATTTGAGCTTCTTAGCGTGGAGGAACTGTGTTAGGATGGTATCGAGGTTTCTAGGAGGAGGGAAGCTGTGTACGAATGACTCTGCTTGCATCAGCTTCTGCTGGCAGCCGGCTCAGGGAAGGGCGAGTGGAGCATATGGGCTGCAGGGATTTCATAGGTGGAATTGGAGACGCCAGCTGGGTCTCTTCTGTGAAAGGCTTCTACTGTGGCAGGTTTCCCCTTTGCTGTGTTACTGTCTCACTAAGTTTGGGAGTTGTAGGAATCTACAATTGGTTTAAAATAACTGTTTGCAGGGGACTTGTAATACAGCACTTGAAGTACTCTGTGCTACTTGTGTTGTACCCTTCAGTGCTTCTGATCTCTTACAGACCAATGTTTTAAAATGGTTTCTGTGACTTCACAGTTCTTTTTATTGAGCTTTATTTTTCTTAGGTATGATGGCTGTAAGTGACCTTGAAATTGACTTGTAGTTAATCCTTCCTCAATGTTTAGGATGGAGTAGATGCTAAAATAGCTGAGAAAATAGATGAGTTTTTATCTACTGGACAGCTTCACAAATTGGAAAAGGTGTGTTTCTTTCCCTTGTGCTTTATTTCTCAGTAGTTGTTTTACTTTGTACTTTGTGTAGTAGTCTGCTTGCTTTGTGCAGTTTCTGTTGCTTTCTGCGGAGAGAGTGATGTCAAGCAGAAGAACGGTGGAGTCTGCAAAGTAAAAAGTGGGGAACAAGAAGCTTAGCCAAAGCCTCAGAACTGTCTACTTATGAAAATATTTTAGATTTTATAACTGGCATGTGAATGTTTTCTGTGAGAAATGGAATTCCGACTCTGGAAGGCTGCGGAATTGACTTTTAACCATGCTGTTTACCTTAGCATGGGCAGTTAAGACAGTTAATTCACTGGAATGGTACGTATGGCACTGTCCTAATGCACAATATTTCTGTTAGTACTGTTTTGTTCTGATTTACAGTAGGTCTCCAAAGCAGAATCTGACTAAGTTGTTTTATAAGCTTTCTTTATTTAGTGAAATGGAGTAAAGAAGAGTTTGTTCACATTACTATCTTTTTGCAGATTCGACAAGATGATACAAGTGCATCCATCAACTTCCTGACATGAGTTACTGGTATTGGGTAAAGCTTAGTTATTATTTGTTAGTGGTGGGGGGAAGTAGTTGTCAAAGTTGTAGAACTGCCAATTACAGATTCTGCAGTAGAGGAGTGGAAGTGGAAAGCTCCTGTGTGCAAGCAGAGAGGGGAAGGAGAGAGGGAGGTGATCAAAAACTGAATCAAAAGACTGAGAAAAGTAGAATCATGAAGGCAGAGTAGGAGCCTATGAGATTTACAGTGCAAAATCTGATTAGGGAGAGTAGTATTTTTATTATGTTTGTAAAAGGAAATCCAGAGCCCTGCCAACCCCTCAAAAACAGGTCTTTTCAGAAAGATGATAGCAGGAGATCTAATTCTCTCGAGGCCTGTTCTCATTCCTATTCTGTGCATAGGGAAATTTTGGCAAAAAAGAGTTCAGTTTACAGACAGGCACTTAACTTAGCCTGTGCATAGCAGCAGAAGTCAATATCTTGAGTGAGAAGGACTGTGATTCTGCTTGCTAAGAACAGGGTTGGCTAAATATAGAACACTTGTGCTTAAAATCAGAACAGATTGGAATGCTGTGGGGAAGAAGAGGGAAAAGCAATTGTCACGGAGTTATCTGAGTCTGTGACAAAGGGAAAAAAAAGCCCAGGAAAGCAAACAAAAAAAAAACAACAACAACAACAAAAACAAAACCAAAAAACCAAGAGAGGGGAAAACTACCCTCCCTCTTTTCTTTCAGCTTAGCTAGCTAGCCCCGAGGCAGACCCTGCCCTCTGGGAGAGGGGGAGAGGAGGAGAGGGGGATGGGTAGAAAGATAGCAGATAGGTCTAAAAAACAAAAACAAAACAAAACAACAACAACAACAACAAAAAACCTGCAATAAGTGGTTACCTCCTGGTAACGGGAAGGAACGTTAATTTACTAAATTTAACCAAATTGAACAAAATGAGAGACAAGAGCATCCAAAATACGAGATAGTAGACGAAGTAGTCTTACTCTAGTAGACTGCAATGAAATATGTGCTTTTCTCTATCGCAAACCAAGAGTGAGCTGGGCCTGAGGGGGAAAGAAGCACGGGGTCCTGTCCGGAGCTCCACCCATCTTCCTCTTCGCGCCTCCAGGAGTCCTCCAGGAATGCCGCCCCTCCAATCAGAATACTTGAAATGCCCTTAAGAGGCAGTAAATGGAACCAGAACATGAACTCTTTTACTCCCGCTGGTTCACACGATGTTCTGATGTGGAATACCGACAGTAAAAAATCACAAAACCACAACATTCCACCCCTTATTCCAGATCACCACATCACGCTTAACAAATACCTATATACGAACAAAGAAATAATTAACATGCGTTACATATGCACATGTCTATATACAAATGTACATGTGGAATCACTGACTACTCCCCCAGCATCAAATTCCCTTGTGGTACACACTGGACATTCCCATTTTTCTCCATCACCCACCAAGTGTGCCCAGGTCCCTGTGCAAAAACAGTTCCACAGAGGGGTTTGCCCTTTCCAAAAGCTGGAAGGACCCAGACTGCTTTTCCCAATGTGCTTTTTACACGTACCATAGGGACCTTATCTCCCTCTACAGTATGTAGGAAGCTGGAGTGGGTAGGACTGATCCTCTAGTATTGACCAACCAGGTGGCTTCTGCTGAATGCTTCTCCCGATGCTTTAATGTTCCACCACCCATTGCTTTCAACATGGTTTTTAACAACCTGTTGTAGCATTTGATCTTACCAGAGGCTGGTGCATGGTAGGGGATATGATAAATCCACTCAATACCATGTTCTCTGGCCCAAATATACACACATGAAATTTTGAAATGGATCCCATTATCTGATTCAATTCTTTCTGGGGTGCCATGTCGCCACAAGATTTGCTTCTCCAGATCTAATATTGTGTCTCAGGTGGTAGCATGGGGTACTGCGTATGTTTAAAGTAACTGAGTGGTTGTCTCTACCATGGTGAGCACGTAACACTTACCACTGTGAGATTGTGGCAAGATGATACAATCAACCTGCTATGCATTCCCATATTTATACTTCTGCCATCACCCTTTCCCCCCAGAGAGGTTTCATCCTCTTGGCTTGTTTAATTATGGCATGTGTTGCAGACATGAATACAACCTGTGCAATTGCATCCACAGTTAAGTCCACCCCTCTGTTGGGTTAAGTCCACAGTCTCTGGCCCACTTATATGTCACGTATCTTCCTTGATGGCCTCAGCTCTTGTGGGCCTACTGAGCTAGAAATAATTCTTCCTTGTTCTGCCAGTCCAAGTCTATTTAAGCCACCTCAATACTGGCAGCTCGAACTACCTGATGGCTATTTTGCTGATCTTCAGTAGCCCTACTCTTGGACACACGGGCATCTGTGTGACACACCTTTGTAACCATATTTTTTGTTTGGGCAGCAATATTTTTCTACAGTTCAGCAGCCCAAATAGGTTTACCTTTCCATTGCCAGTTGTTTTGTTCCCACTGCTGTAACCACCCCCATAAGGCATTTGCCACCATCCACGAGTCAGTGTAAAGATAAATCACTGGCTACCTCTCCCATTCAGCAACATCTAAGGCCAGCTGGACGGCCTTTACCTCTGTGAACTCACTTGATTCTCCTTTTCCTTCAGTGGCTTGTCATGTGGGGGGCTCCACACACCAGCTTTCCATCTGCAATGCTTCTCTATCATACAATACAATCGGTCTGTGAACAGGGCAAATTTCTTTTCATTTTCTGCTAGTTCACTGTATGGTGAGCTAGCACATGATACCTCTTCTGCTGGTGATGTTCCAAACTTTTTGCCTTCAGGCCAGTCCATGGTCACCTCTAGGATTCCTGGACGGTTGAGGTTCCCCATCTGCATTCGTTGCAAATCAGCGCAATCCACTTACTCAAGTGGCATCAGTAGCATGATGGGTGGAGGGGACCTTTCCTTTAAACATCCTTTAAACATTCCTTTAAACATCCAGTTCAACACTGGCAGTCAAGGTGCCAGAAGGAGCTGTGTTTCTGTGCCAATTACTTTGGAATTAGCCCAAACCCCCTCATATGCAGCTAAGATCTTTTCAGTTGGAGTGTAGCACTCTTCTGACCCCTTCTACGCCCCTGTACTCCAGAATACCAGAGGTCAGCCTCGGGTCTCTCCTGAGGCTCTTTGCCACAACCTCCAAGTAGGACCTTTCTCTCCAGTAGCAGCTTAGAGGATGTTCTTTACATTCTGTCCCATCCGTACTGGCCCTAGGGCCACAGCACAGGCTCTCTCTTTTTTAATCTGCTCAAAAGCCTGCTGCTGTTCTATAGTTTGGGATGTGCATTCTCCAAAAGCCCACTACACCCAGAAAAGATTGTGTCTCTTTCTTGCTAGTGGATGGAGACATAGTGGTGATTTTGTTGATCACATCTCCTGGGATATGATGATGCCCATCTTGCCATTTTATTCCTAGGAACTGAATTTCTTGGGCAGGTCCTTTCACTTTGTTTCGCTTAATAGCAAAACCAGCACGCAGAAGAATTTGGATTATTTGCACTCCTTTCTTAAAAACTTTCTCTGCTGTATCACCCCACACCACCATGTCATCGATGTACTGCAGGTGCTCAAGAGCACCTCCCTGTTCCAATGTGGTTTGAATCAACCCATGGCAAATGGTCAGGCTGTGTTTCCACCCCTGCTCAGTGCCCCTCAGAGCTGCTCACAGAATGGCCCGGGTTAGAAGGGACCTCAAGGATCATCAAGCTTCAACCCCCCTGCCATATCTAGGGCCAACCTCCACGTATAATACTAGACCATCTAGTCAAGGCTCCATCTAGTCTGGCCTTGAACACCTCCAGGGATGGGGCATCCACAGCCTCTCTGGGCAGCCTGTTCCAGCACCTCACCAACCTCATAGTAAAGAACTTCCCCCTGACATCCAACCTAAATCTTCCCTCCCTCAAAACCATTTCCCCTTGTCCTGCTGTTATATACTCTTGTAAAGAGTTGACTCCCCTCCTGTTTATAGGCTCCCTTTAGGTACTGAAAGGCTGCAATGAGGTCACCCCACAGCCTTCTTTTCTCCAGGCTGAACAAGCCCAACTCCCTCAGCCTGTCTTCTTATGGGAAGTGCTCCAGCCCTCTTATCATCTTTGTGGCTCTTCTCTGAACCCTCTCCAACAGCTCTCTGTCTTTCTTGTATTAGGGGCTCCAGACCTGGACACAGTACTCCAGATAGGGCCCCACAAGAGCGGAGTAGAGGGGGACAATCACCTCCCTTCCCTGCTGGCCACCCCTCTTCTATTGGAACCCAGGATACCATTTGCTTTCCGAGCTGCAAGAGCACACTGCTGGCTCATATTCAGTTTTTCATCCATCTGGACCCTGAGGACCTTCTCTGCAGGGTTGCTCTCAAGGACTGCTCCTTTCAGTCTGTATAGATGCCTAGGATTCCTCCGGTCCAAATGCGAAACCTCGTACTTTGCTGTGTTGAACCTCATTAGGTTCACCCGGGCCCACCTGTCAAGTCTGTTGAGGACCCTCTGAATGGCATCCCTTCCTTCCACCGTGTCAACTGCACCACTCAGCTTGGTGTCATCAGCAAATTGCTGAGGGTGTACTTGATTCTGTTGTCAGAGTCATTGATAAAGATATTAAAGAGAACCGGTCCCAAGACAGACCCCTGGGGGATGCCGCTTGTTACCGGCCTCCACCTGGACATAGAACCATTAATCACCACCCTCTGTCTGCAGCTTTTCAACCAATTTCTTATCCATTGGGTGGGCCACCCATTAAATCCACATCCCTCATAGCTCCCCAGTACCCCTCAGAGTCCCTCAGATCCCGTTAGTGCCCCCCAGTGACCTGAGTACCTCTCAGAGCCCCCTAGTTCCGCTCAATGCCATTCAGAGCTCCCCAGTGGCCTTCCTGAGTCCCCCATGCCCCTCAGAGACCCTCATTATCCCTCACAGCCCCCCCAGTGCCCCTCATAGCCACCCAGTGCTCCCAGAGCCCCCCAGTGCCCTTCAGAGTCTCCCAGTGCCCCCCAAAACCCCTGGTTCCCCCCAGTGCCCTTCAGAGTCCCCTGGTTCCCCCCGTGTTCCCCAGTGCGCCCTAGTGCCCCTCAAAGCCCCCCACTGCCCCCCCAAAATATAGAATCATAGAATCATAGAATCACCAAGGTTGGAAAAGACCTAAAAGATCATCCAGTCCAACCGTTCACCTATTCCCAATAGCTCCTACTAAACCATGTCCCTCAATACAACATCCAGTCTTTCCTTGAACACCCCCAGGGTCGGTGACTCCACCACCTCCCTGGGCAGTCCGTTCCAGTGCCTGACCACCCTTTCCGAAAAGTAATACTTCCTAATGTCCAGCCTGAATCTCCCCTGCCGTAGCTTGAAGCCATTCCCCCTGGTCCTATCACTAATGACACGAGAGAAGAGGCCGACCCCCAGCTCACTACAGCCTCCCTTCAGGAAGTTATAGAGAGCAATGAGGTCTCCCCTGAGCCTCCTCTTCTCCAGGCTGAACATTCCCAGCTCCTTCAGCCTCTCCTCATATGGCCTGTGTTCCAGACCCCTCACCAGCTTTGTCGCCCTCCTTTGAACACGTTCCAGGGCCTCAATATCTTTCTTGCAGTGAGGGGCCCAAAACTGGACACAGTACTCGAGGTGCGGCCTCACCAGTGCTGAATACAGGGGAACAATCACCTCTCTGCTCCTGCTTGCAACACTGTTTCTGATGCAAGCCAGGATGCCATTGGCCTTCTTGGCCACCTGGGCAGATGTTTGATGTTTTCTCCCCCAAAATACCATTTTTCTCCCCAAAATATGACATTTTCTCCCCCAAATACCGCTTTTTCCTCTCAAAATGACATTTTTTCCCCAAAATGATTCTATGATTCTATGGAAGCTTTTATTTCTCCTGTTCCCTAAGAACCCCAAGAGCACTGCAATTTTCACAAGATTGAAGCTGAACTCACCATTCTCTGAAGGTTTTGGGGTCTTTGCATGAGGTGCTGTGCTGCTTATGGACACCCTGCTGCAGGCCTGCAGATGGCACTGGGGAGGAGGAGAAAGGTGGAATTCTGTCCAATATCCGTCGCTAGGTTGCCAAGCTTTGAGCATTTTGTGTACAGTTGCAGCCCCTCCTCACCGTTTTTTTTTTTTCCCCAATTTTAATGGAATATTTATTTCCCAGACTGGTTGAGGCCTGTTGTTTCTCTCTCATTCTGCCTTTTCCATGGAGGTGCCAGCAGGACCAACGCACAGACCAACCCTGCACTTCAGGAGCAGGCGAGATGTGGAGCTGTTGCTATTATGACATTAAGAAGCCAAACTTAATCCCAGCATTCAGAAAATAAATGTCACCAGCCGCCACCAGGCTCCAGCGCGGGCACGGCCCCCCTCCGACAGGCTCCCGGCCACCTCTGACGGAACCGCGCTGCCTGCTGGGAGTTGTAGTCCGCGCTGCGGCGGGGAGAGGCGAGGAGGCAGTAGCAGGAACTACAACTCCCAGGATGCAGCGCGGCGGCGTCAGCCCTGCGGGCCGCCATTACAGCCCGCCCTCTCTACTCACAGGGCTGCTCTGCCGCGCTGCGGGGGTGAAGCTGCCGTCTCGGCGGGCCGTGCGAGGACGTCATAGGTCCGGGGGAGCAGCCGGGCCTTCCTGTGACGGCCATTTCCTGCTCGCCCCAGGGCCGGCGGGGAGCGGTGGCGGTCTCGCTCTTGCTCCCTGACGGGCTCGGCGGGCAGTGATGTGGGCCCCGGGCCCTGGCGACAGGCGGCCCCCGCCGTGAGGATCTGGGGGGCTGCGACAGGCCGGGCCCTGTGCGGGGCGCATGGAGGCGTCCCCCGCCTGCAGAGAGGTACCGCCCGGGGGGGGGGGGGGAAGCAAACCCTGAGAGGGCTGCGGGGCCGCGGGAATAACCGGCTGTCCCCCTCCCCCTTCCGTGGTTTTGCAGTTGTGACTCCCGCTCCTCGTGCGGCCCTCGGAGCCGCCCCGGCCTGGAGAAGAATTGGGGCGCAGGGCCTTCGGCAGAGCATCGCCCCCGGAGCTTTCTCAGCTAACTGCTGAGAGATGAAGAAGTTCTTCGACTCGCGCAGGGAACAGGGCGGCTCTGGGCCCGGTTCGGGCACCAGCGGCGGCGGCGGCGGCAGCGGAGGGCCCGGCAGCGGTTACATCGGCAGAGTGTTCGGCATCGGCCGCCGCCAGGTGACGGTGGACGAGGTGCTGGCGGAAGGTGAGAGCCCGTAGAGCTCTATCCCTCCCCGTTGGCAGGGATGGCAGGCTTTGGCCTTGCCTCCGTGCTTTTCTCTGTCCCTGCTCCCCTTGCATCTCCTTGTCCTTGGTGGTGGTATCCGCAGCTGGTGGCATTCCTGCTTTTCCTAAGTGTGGCTTCGCTGTAGGTCTTGTTTTTTAAGTAATTTAGGAACTGCTGGGCTGTCTTTTTGTTTGGAGGAGGAGATACTGTAAATGAAGTCCACAGCGGTCTTTCCTTGAACTTCATTCAGCCCAAGTCCTTTGGAATTTACATAGGGGTAAATTTCCTGTGCATATTTGTCAGACAGAAAAGTTGGGTAGAGCTGGCTGCAGTTTGTGGGGGACTGCTGTTTGCCTGTGTTTTTAGGAGAAAATAGAGATCCCAACTGCATTTTCTTTAAAATAAGACAGTGACAGAACTGAGAATGAGCAGTAGGGGTTATAAAACCCTGGATGTGTGCAGTCCTTGCGGTGCAGCAAGCTGCTGCTGGTGGTTTTGTTTGTTTGTAACCGATGCTGCAGATTTTACTGTCATTTTAGATTCTATTCGTATGGACCATAGGGGATCTTATTAATGTCTTTGGCTGCCAACCTTAGCATTAACCTTCAGAAAGATGTTGGTCTTCTTAGACCTGCTCAGCATCCTTTGCAGTTTCAGTTCAGAGTGGTGTTTTGTTTTGATCTTGTAACTGTGGAAGTGAGTGGCTTCTCGATAGGAACCGAGTGGGAGGACCTGCGTTGGCTTTTACAGAAAGAGCCCCAAAATGGAAAAAGAACTCTGTATGTGCTGTAGGCGTACAGGTTTGTGAAAGTCACCTCAGTGTAGACGAAAATAGATCTGTGACCATCTTTTGGGTAGGTTCTGGTGTTTGCTGAGCTGAGAAGAGCATTAAGCCCAACTTTTAAACTACAATGGTTTCTTTTCCTGACTTGAAAATTGCGATGTGAATTTGCCTTGGTAGATATTTCTGTGGCCACTTTGGCCATGGAAGCTTTGGTGCTAGATGGGTTAAGTCTGAGACACTGTCACAATGTTGGTGGTTGTGGTGCTGTGTTTTTTCTTATTTTTTTTAATGCAGATTGGCCTCATCCTGCTTATGTGGGGAAGCAGAGGCTTTTTTTGCTGATGAATAATCTGTTGGCAGGTTCTGCCTGGGTGCTGGCAGCACTGGGAGGTGAAACAGCCTGTCCCTGGGCTCTATGCTGTTTGGCGTGCCTGACCCACAGCCACCAGAGGTGTGGGTGATAGCAGAGACTGTGTGGGCGAAGACAACTGTGGAGACATCATGAAGGAACTGCTGCTTGTGGGGGATTTCCCTATGACTCTTGGGTCCATGCCTGGCCTCTGGGGCTGCAAGATCTGCTTGTACAGGTCAAGCAAAGTATAACAGGCCTGGAAAATAGGTACTGTATTCTCCTTTCCTGACCATGCTCTAAGGCAAAGCACTTTTTATTTTTTTATTTCAGCAGCCCCCTAAAGAAAATGTGCTGAGCAGTTATTTTCTACGCAGCGTGGCTATTGAAAGGTAGGTCATCTCAGGAGACAACATAGGTCATAAGTGCTGCAGCTTTGCATACCTCTGGCCTTTTGGATAGCTGTCTGTGTTCCCTGAGTGCTTGTAAAATACATTTTTTTTCACTGACTCAGCTGGGGAGCTGTGAATTCTCAGCTGAAGAACTGTTTTGTGCATACAGTGAATTTTGGTGGTTCAGCAATATTGAAAAGGCAACTTGTGAAGTCGTGGTTATTGCTGCTAAAAGGAAATTTCCTCTGGGAAACACTTCTGAGGATGAGGAGGAAACATCTTTTCTGGGAAGAATACATCTCACATACCCATTGCTTTAGAAAGGAGAGGAGGGACCCACATTTTGGTACAACAGTAAAGCACAGAGAGTAAACAAGGTGTAACAGCAGCTAAAAGAGGGAGTCTCTGAAGTGATGGATGATGTAGTGGAGACTAAGTCACAAGCCTGAGGAACTGGTTGAACTAGAACTTTTGGCATTAAAGTGTTGGGGTTTACCACTGTCAAAGATGTGACTGGTTGTGTTAATTGTCCTGAGCAATTGTGTTGAAGAGTAGTGCTCCTGGGCCAGGCTGAGGGTCCTTAATGCGACACCGTGTCATGCCAGATGGCAGACATCTGCATATGTTCTTAGTCTTTTGGCGTAGATCCCCAAAATATCCAGTGCAGTTACGGGCATGTTCACCCCCTGTCTGGATCCTTGCTTTCTTGGGTAATGAGGAACAAGTCAAGGTCCTTCCTTCTGGAAGGAATGAGATGGGGATAATACAGATTGAGCAGTTGTTTGTCTGTGGTGATATAATGCAGTTGAATTGTCAGGTTTCTTTTTCCCAGTTTCTTTATATTGTGTTTCAGTAGGTGATTCTTGGTTGGATCTTTGTATTCACTTCCCTCTAATCCACTTAAAAGCATGAATAATATCTTGAAAGTTTCCTCTCAAAGTCTTCCAGAGGACTAATAACCGGGAGCTTAGTGCTGCTGGCCTTGGAGATTTGCAAGGCCATGAAGCATCACCAGGACTCCGGGAGGGCTGAAGGGGTTATTAACTGATATCAGTGTGACTTGTTTCACCCAGCTGTGAGGTGAATGCCCAGGAGGCACCTGAATGTGGGATTGGGGGGGGGTTAAAATAAATTTGTCAGGTGTGTTATTACACAGGTTTTAAGGAAGTGGCAAAGGCTTCATCATTGCCTTCTTTAGTACATCTGTAGTTCTTAGTGCTCATGAAGAGCTTGTTGAGTGTGTGAATGCACAAATTATGTCTGATGGGGAAGGTGACTCCCTGAGCTGTCTGTATGTGTGCCTGGGCTGATTACAGAGGACTTGTACTGGCTGCTGCCTGCCTTACCCCTAGTGTTCCCTTTCCCTGGACTTACTGTGATACACAGCATCACATTATGAAGTCATCATCCTCCTTTTACAATAACTCTGACTTTCAATGAACTCCATCTCAGATAAGTCTTGCAGATTTACATGATCCTCAACCAATTCCAGAGTGGCTGGGTTCAAAGTATCACTTCTGTTGTTTGTTTTGTCAGTTACTGCCTTCTGCTTTCTGTCAGGGGCCAACTACCAGTCAGCTGACCACTAGCATTTGGATTAGGAGTTAACTATTTCTCCTCTTGGAATGGGACATGTGGTTTTTCTTTTTATACTTTTGCCCTTACTCTTTTTTGTGTACCATGTGAAGCAATACTGAGCTCTGCGTTGGTGGATGGGGTACTGGCTTCTCTGTCTTTTAGTAGTCTGTGGTTTTTTGACTGTACAAGCCAGGCAAACTGATGAAGAATCCCAAGTTACTGAGCAAATGTTGAGGTATCCCAGGTACACGCACAGTGTTTTTGTTGTGCTGTGGGCCTTCTCTTTTCTTAGGAGCTGCCAGCAGTTGAAGAGAGCAGGTGCTGGGTTATAAATGTGCTGAAGACAAGCTGGAATCCACTGTGGGGTTAGCACTTGCTGCCTTCCAAGCTCCCACACCTGCATTAATCATGGCTAACGGGTCAGAACTGATTAGGTGATTAGGTGTACTGGTTAGGTACATTTGCATTGAGTGTGAAAGCTGCTTCCTTTGAAGTTGTGTTTTGTTTTTATTTTTTGTTTCGTTTTGGTTTTTTTTCAGTGAAAATGCGGACTTGGACAAACTGTACCCACTGGAATAGCAGCTTGCCAACAGCAGGACTTGCTGCTGCTTTGGAAAATCACAAATGATTTGGTTTGTACTAAGCAAGTTTTTACTTATGTTTCCCGTGCGGAAGGAGATGGGAAGTCTCTGAGCAGAAACATGCTGTTAGCAAGCTGAACTTACAGAGCAGTTCTTGTCTGGTAACAAGAGGTGACTTGGGTAGATAACCTTCCTGGGAAAGTATGCTTTCATTCTTGGGTGGGGATAAGTGTGAGATATCCTTGTGAGAATAACAAGTGAAATCAGATCCCATTGCTGTGCTTCTTTGAGAACAGGAACAACGCTGATAACTATTCACGAGCATGAGGAAAAAAATCTGAAAGGCTTAAGTGAAACACTGCTATAAGGTAACTGTCTCTTTGGTGGTTTTTTTTTTTTGTTTTTTTTTTGTTTTTTAAATCATTGTGGTAACTTTCCCTTTTCTCCTCTTGTGGGAGATACAGGGGTTGCTGTTAAGTGAAGGTTATTTCTAGCTGTCTATAGTACGATGGAGTAGAATGGAAGCAGAGGAGAGCTGCTGTGGCTCCTCTAATATTAGGATCTTTTGGTGCCCTGTTGCCAGAGTATCTGAGCCCTGCAATGGTCTCCAAAAATGTCTTTCCATTCCTTTTGAGGCTGCTGGGAAATATACCAAGATATGAAAGCAAAACAATGCAGAATATGTATGGTCAAGTCAGTAGTTGATCTCTGGCCTCCCAGACTGAGTGCCTTAATTGCAGTCTGTTTCTAAAGTGCTATGTCGGTGTGTTCTAAATGGTGTGTTCTTAGCACGTGTGTGATTTGGGCATAAATTTTTGCTTGCTTGGTGGCAGAACCCATGCCGACATTAGGACCCCAGGCCTTTTGTCACAGGATTGAAGACTTTTTTTTTTTTTTAAAAACAAATTTTCTTGGTTTAATTCATGATTTTGAAGAAACAAATGATGTGGCATTGATGTGTGACCTCAGATATATCTAAAAAATAGAAAACTCAGCTGCTGATGTTTTTTTAAGCAGAGCCTGTGCGTGTGCGCATATGCATCCTTGTTCTGAGCTGGAAGCTGATGCTGTGAGGAGGACAGGTGGAGCTTATCCTGGTTTGTTCATGATCAGGAGCGTGCTGCTTTTACTTCCTGTTCATTGTTTGTATGGTTGTAAGAGAGAGGAAACCCCCAAATCTACCCATGTGCTATTAAAAGGGGAATCTGGCATGCTGTTAGAGCGGGTGTAATAGTGACGTGTGGTTTTGGGAAGCTATGTAAATGTGCAGTTGTTAGTCAGACCCTGACCTTTCA